GCATTTTTATCGATTTTTCTTCTTTTAAAATGTTTTTTATATAATTTAATTATCAATCTACTGATCAACTCATATGAATTGAATATTGCAAAGGTCAGTTTGCTCCATTCACAATGTAAGAGTTCGAACCCTTATCTTATTTAAGAGATCTAATGTCTCATCCCATTAGATCAACCAACTAAATTACTTAAACGATCTAGTGTCTCATCCTACTAACTAACTGATTCAATGTTAGAATTGGAACCTTTGACTCTCAATCAATCAAATGTTAGTGGCATTTTTTAATAGTCTTGGGTGATATAAGGTATCTGATAATCTTTCATAATCATTGACAAATGAAAATGCAAATACACATCTCAAACTCAATACTCTAAGAAGAACAACATTCTCTTAACTAAATGATAATCTTAGGGACAACTTTAGAAATTATATCTTTTGATTTTAGTAAATGATAGTTGTTGATTTCATTATTCTCAAAGTTTCATCATTACAATGCAACTAATCAAAGGACTGATATCCATATTTAGTGTGACCAATTAGGAATTACATATTGAAAGCATTTGTCAAAAATGTGCTACCTATTGTAAATGTACACTGGCGTTAAACTTATGGCAGTGGCAAAAATGAGTTAATGATAAAGGCCGACTTTTTCCCATGAACGGTTGCTCAAATAAGGCCCATAACTTTCAACCCACTGCTCTTCTCTTAGCTATGACTACCTAATTTGCCTGCACATGGTACAAAAAGTTAACCATTCCTGGCTCAAAACATAAAAAATTCTGCAGGATAGGTTATATTAAGATTGATTAAATCTGGTCTGCAACCTAACGCCTTGAAAGCTGAAATTTCTGGGTAAATTTAGTTGAAACATTTACTATTTCATGGTGTTAGAGGGTGAAATGAAATGGTGAATAGCAGTAGATTAGTGTAGAGGGATTAAAAGCTAAAAGGACCAACAAAAATGGTGACATTAAAGGTGATTTAATTCTATAACCTACTGAGAAATGCTGGGCCAATCATCAATAGTTGAACCATGTTTCTTTCTGGGATTTGTGGGAATTATTTTAGTGGGCAGGTATGTATGAATTTCGGTGAAAAGAGGCTAAAAGTCAAGGTGAGGTTTGAAAACTGAGCTCTCTAAGCATATGGATCCCTATTCCCTACTAACTTTCCGGACTGATGTCCCTTCTAGAGGCACGTCCGGGAAATATGTTCGTAATAGGTAGAAGCGGATTTAGAATTATTTTAAGAATAAATATATGTATATTAATAGTATAATTTTTTTGTACATAATGAACATAAATAATATTTCATGATAGTTATAATTAATAAAAATATATAAAAAAAATTCGAATTTCAAGAGATGCATATTTATCTTAATGAATCCTTCACTATTTATAGATATAGTAAAGAAATACAACGTTGAGGGTAAATCCTGACATCCACTTGTCTATGTTCCATCAATCTGCATTTGTCACATGACACTCAGAGATATGGCACACTCATGAAGTATATAAAACCTGATACTTGAGGAGAAAGTGATAGATTCCCCAAAGCTTTCTTCAACCTTCAGCATTTCACCTCCTCCCTTCATCCTCTTCCATACTCCAGACACTAAATCTCGGTTATAAATGAACAGAACATTTGATGAGCTGTTTTAAATTATTTGTATAACATGGGTATGCATAAAATTGTTATGTTCATTTAATAAACGGAAGAAAATGAACAGATGTGTATTCAGTTCGTTTATATTCACAAACATGCTCATTTGAAAACTCGTTTATAAGTTTATTTACCCGATTCTCTTTTTCCTTTTATTTTTTTACAATTTAAATACGGGTGAAGGTAAAGACTAAATTAAACACATGGTGAACTTTGAAATTTTAACTATGAAACTTAAGAAGCTTAAGGATTAGTGGTCTAATTTCATCATTTTTCTATAGCTATAGAAAGAGAATGTGCAACGAATATGTTCCCAAAAATGTTAAACATACATATTAACAAATATATTTAGGGTTTAGGGTAATCGAAAATGAATATTTCAAAAGTAAATAAACAAACACAATTTTAGAGTGCACTGAATCTGAATTATACTAAATTAGTAATCTTTTCACTCTCAGTTCCAATTTCAATCTCCCGTGTCTAATATGCCTTGGATTCAGCAAACTTAGTGCTCTGCTTTTGCTTTTCATATCTAATTTTTAATGGCATAATGTAAAAAAACCATAATATTTAATTAAATAACCATTTTAATTTTTATTTTTTTGAGTAATTTAGTCCCCAAAGTGTCATTTTGAGATAAAATGACCTAAACAAATAATAAATACTCTAAAATAATTATCTTTTCTATCCTAAAATAAACTATTAAAGGTCATAATGCTCTTGAAGAAAATAAGAACCATAGTTATTCAATCGTAAACTTTTTTTTTCCTAAAATAAAATATCGAGGTATAAAATGTTTTGGAAAATAATAGGGGCTACCATTTTAATAAACTTTGAAGGCTGATTTTGACATTATGCTAATTTTAATCGAAAGGTGGATAGTGAAGCATACAAAAGAAGAATCATTTTCAATATTTAAAATGCAAAATTATTTGTTATTTGAGGAGCCGAAAGCACTGTATTGACACTATATACTATACAGTTTCATAAAAGTAGAAAGAAAAATACAGGCTTGGGGTTCACCACTGAAGTATCGGGAATGATGTTGCTAGGACAAAGCAAAAGCTTCGGCCCAAGTTTCAGTCTTCGAGGGGAGCTGCATGATTTGTTAATGTATTTTCAGAATAATGTAATCCCATCAGTCATTGTGTTGAGGATTTAGGTATACCTAACATGGTATTGGAAAACTATATGTCCCAACCATTTTCAATCTTTTAAGGGGAAAAAAATCTATTTAGCCTTAAGCAAAGGGGAAAGATCTATTTAGCCTTTTTAATAGACATGATGTTCGTCTAACCCCATTCATACAAGGGGGAGTTTAGTTCAGGTTATATTGGATTACTGGAGGGAATCGAATGTCATTCCCCAATTTGATTGGCAAACATTTCCAACCCCTGATAATAAGTTATTCCTAATAGTGATATTTTGGGGGTATATTACCGGAAATAAGATTACCCTTCCCTTAGGTATTGTTATATTCCCGGTATTTTTGGACTAAAATGCCCTTACAAAAATTTCCTTTCAAAAAATATCCTTCTTCTGTCGTTGAATAAAAAAAATTCTATGAAGGTTAAATTACAAATTTATCCTTAAACTATTTTAGATTTACAAAAAAGTCCATAATTAGAATTTTATATAAAGTTCATGGGTTAAAATAAAATTTTACCATTTCATTAAACCTATGTATCTTTTCAATTTTGTAAAAAAAATTATATAAATTTTATGAATTTAAAATTTTTAAAGAAAATATATAAATTAATTATAGTAAAATTCAAATTGTTAAAAAAACAAATATATAATAAGGACAATTTGGTAAAATATATATTAAAATAATCTTTTATTCCTTTAATCAAACACTGTAATCTTACATTCCTGCTAAATGAACCAAACACAACAATGCAACATTCCCAGTAATCTTATTTTTCGCCGGTAATCTTACATTCCGTAAACCAAACGCACCCTAAGGGTCTACCCTTTTAAAACGGATTAACAAAATCCTAACATTTTTTAACATGCTTAAATAAGGGTATAACCTTACAAAAAGGTCAAATAAAGACATCATATTTTTGAATTTACTCAAATAAGGGTCTAATATTTTTTAAGATTCCCGAATAAGGGACTTTATTTGCAAGTATTTTCAAAAAGTTAGATCTTTAATATTTGAGTAGATTGAAAAACAAAACAAATAATATTTCTTGAGCTACAAAATTAGATCATTAATATAAAATACAAAACAAATAATTAAATTATAAAAAAATTATAAATTTCTAGAGAAACGACCTTCGTTCTCAAACCTTTCGGTCCATCGCTGCTAGGAAGTAGCATGTGCTTATCATCAACACGTTGATTTGAATTAGAGCTTAGCACTTAGCCATCAACAACTATATGTTGAAGATAACCTATAAATAGAGCAAAAAAACACAACACCAATAAATAGGGTTTCCCTACCACATTGACATGCAAGCTGCATTTTTTTTAGCATGAACGTGCATATTGAGACGATATTGAGAGGAGTATTCAATGACGGAATTGCAATGCCATACTCGCCTCACATGCAAATAGAAATCTTATAATGTCGATATAAATTTAATTATTACTTCATTTTTCTGATTGACGAGGCGGGTATTTATATGTATAAAAAATTATTTAAATATCATTATCAGTCAAGTTTATATTAAAATATATGTAAAAGATTTATTATTATCTTTAGAGGTCTCGGGTTTGAACACCGACATCAACAACGGTACAAGTGTTTATTGCCAATTAGTTAAAAGTCTTTAAACATACTACCTTGTATTCGTGCTATATATATATATGTGTGTTTTATATTTTTATGTATATTAATATTATTAATGACGAAAACTCAACCACCATGTTCTTAACTCTTCTCCACCGAATCTGCTGGCTAATTCCACTAAAAGTTTCCTTTACCTTCTTCAACTCTCTTCACACGCCATGGACACAGAATTTTAGACGGAAAAACCTAAAAAATTCTACATGAAGCCTTTGTGCTTAGTAGTTTTGAATAGAAATATGAAGAACCATAAACTAAACATCATCTTAGTGAATTTAGATTTGTGATTTCATCAAAGTAATGAAACCCTAAACTACAAATTCAATTCAGTTTGTCGGAAAATGTACTTCAACCTTATTGCCTATTTTGGAGGATGTAGTTGTGACAAAACGAAATTGGAAACTCTCTTGCACAAGAGGATCCATATCTTTTGAACCCATTCAACGATTTCAGTGGTAAAAAAGAGTGTTGTTTTCTTTAGAGGTTCAAGTTCTAACAATTACATCTACAAAGTATATGTATTCATTGTCAATTAGCTGAGGAAATTCTGAACAAATACAAAGAATGTGTTTTGGGAAGAGAAGAGAAAATAGAGTATTGGCAATCCTTCAATTTGATACATTGATTGTACTTTGTCAAGGCTAAAATCTATGAAGATCGATGGAATTCATTCGCTCGAATCATAATTATTCGATTGATCTTCCGAGTCCATGATCATACTAATGTGTGTGTCCTCAACCTTGGTAATGGTGTCCTTGTAAACCTTTGGAAGGGCATTGCAGTTAATCGTGTGCCACACAGGTCTCTCCTCTAGGAATAACCTATAATAGAAAAAGATTATGCAACAATCCTTTTTCTCATGTTGGCATATCTTTGATTTTTCCAAGAGGCACAATCGGCTGTAAGAAACTAGCATCAATTGTTCTGAACAGGGATGGACCAGGTATCTTATTTGTATTTTCTATTGATGATCTAATTTCACACCCCCTGAAATTTTATAATTTTGCACCTCCTAAATTTCTATTATAACTTCTGAAGTTGGCATCCCCTAACATAAAATCATGCATCTGTCTTTGGTTTTAGACACAGGATTTGGAGCTACAGAGAGGGAGACTCACGGGTGTTTGCATAGCATACTTGAATAGTAAGTGCATATTTGCATGTAGATAACTCCATGATTGAACTAATTATTGCCCTCGGCTCCGAGCAGACGAATCTCACCTACAAACAGAAATAACAAAGCATAAAACGATGAGAAAGTATCTAAAAACCATATCATAGTACTATAACTTCATTCTTCATACCTTGGTTTCTCGGGGCTGATTAGTAAGATCACATAGGGTTCCACTAGTATATTGATGAGCATGATACCTGCATGAGACATGGCATCGTTATATAGTCTTTTTCTTTCTTTTGCTTCTTTATTCAGTATGCCCTTGTGCTTGACACCACTTAACTTATTTTTTTAGGTAAAAGTTGAGTAATTATAAAGAAGATGACAAAGTTTAGGTGCAACCTAAATTTTAAACCATGCAAAGTCTCACCTTTGCGACGCATAGTTCGAGCGAGGATCTTTTAATGTGGAGAAGTCGGAGAGATTCTGGTTGAAAGCAGCACTTGCCTCTTCATCATATACACCCAAGACAAATTCCTGAACCACCAGCAATAATTCATAATCATAAAAAATGTACGTTAATAGATTATGAAAACTGCTGGTGGGAGCTTACTGTATTCATTAAGGTATTAAGTAGAACATAGCAGTAGTACTCCAAATTATTTTTTAAGATGGCAAATGATGCTGATGCTGATGCAGCTGCTTTTATAACTATAATTATAGGCATAATAACAAAAAGTACACTTAATGTTTGATTAAATAGTCATTTTCTGTGTTTTAAAAGGCGCGAGGCGCTCCAAGGCGATTAGCTACCCGAGAGCCTCAATTTTTGAGGCGCTTTGAGGCGAGGGATTCAAGTACGCGAGACGCTTAATTTTACAAAACATTTGTAAATATTTTATAACCATACCTCAAACACAAAACAACTTAATAATTAACTTAATAAGCAAAAACACCAAGTAGCATGTCATATTGTATCTCAAAAAGACAAAAAAAAACATCATCAATAATCAAAATGTCATATTGTATCACATCGTCAGTGTGATGATTCCGCTATTGGCTGCTACTTTTATGAGACAATATTGCATAGGTGGTTTTGATGGCTACTGGTTAGCTATGCTTTGGTGATGTTTGGAGTGGTGGGTGCTTTGGTTGAAGAATCCTCTGTCGAAAACTCAAAAGTAGCATTAGATAGGGTTACACGTTCGATCGAGTCGAGTTAAGAATTTTTTTTTAAGTTATTCGAGTTGATGAATTCTATTTTATAACTCGAACTTGACTTAATTTTTTATCGAGTCGAATCGAGTTTTTGAGTTTCTATTTAAATTTAATAGTAAATATTCATAATCAATTTAAATGGTTTTTTTATACTCATTTACAATATATATATATTTCTTCATATTTTTTATATGTGATATACATATATCATACATAGTCGAGGGACTCGACTCATACTTGAAAATCAATCCACTAATTACTAAAAAATTTGAACTACCATTCGAGGTTTTCAAGTTATATTTTATAACTCCATTTGAACTTGAAATTTTTTCAAGTCGTGTTTTTGAAATTACAACTCGAAGTCAATTCAAGTAGATTCAAAAAATAATTTTTTGACTCGAGTCAAGTTTTTGCTCACCCCTAATGTTAGATATGATTTTGAAAGAAAAAAATAGTTGAGTGTCTAAAAAGGAATTGCAGGAATATATGAGTGACTAAATATGAGTTTACCCTAAAAGTTATTGTATAACTATGACATTTAGCAAAATCTTTGAAATTCAATAAAATATTTTAATAAAATATTAAAAGAAAGCCCGCAGCATGGGCTAACCCAAATCAAGTCCTAAAACAAAATGAATCTGGCGGATAACGCGTCCAGGTTCATCTCTTCTTCACCATACCATCTCATTTATTTAAAATCTCATTCGTCTCTCTCCACTTCTTCCATCGAAAGAAGAAAGAAAAAACTAAAAACTCCTTTAAACATCACCGAAATCTTCCATTTCTCTGTAACCTCAGAAGAAATGAAAGAGAAAAAACAGATGAAAGAGCCTCCTTACCACGTCCTTCACAAGCTTCCTCTTGGAAACAACCCTTACGTTCGAGCCAAACATGTTCAGGAAATCTAAAGCCCAATCTGAAATGGGTCATTGTACGACTGAATCGTCCTCGACTCATACTTGAAAATCAATCCACTAATTACTAAAAAATTTGAACTACCATTCGAGGTTTTCAAGTTGTATTTTATAACTCCATTTGAACTTGAAATTTTTTCAAGTCGTGTTTTTGAAATTACAACCCGAAGCCAATTCAAGAATATTCAAAAAATAATTTTTTGACTAGAGTCAAGTTTTTGCTCACCCCTAATGTTAGATATGATTTTGAAAGAAAAAAATAGTTGAGTGACTAAAAAGGAATTGCAGGAATATATGAGTGACTAAATATGAGTTTACCCTAAAAATTATTGTATAACTATGACATTTAGCAAAATCTTTGAAATTCAATAAAATATTAAAAGAAAGCCCGCAGCATGGGCTAACCCAAATCAAGTCCTAAAACAAAATGAATCTGGCGGATAACGCGTCCAGGTTCACATAGTTGTAAAAAGCGCGCCTGAGGCGCAAAAGCGCAGAGGCTCACTGAACGGGGCTTTTTCAACACTGAAGCGAGGCACGTAGCCTAGGCGCACCTAAGCTCAGCGAGGCGCAACAAGGCTCTGAGGCGCGAGGCTCAGTCGAGGCGTGATGTGGGCTTAAAACCTTGTGTTCCTTCATCGAAATCCCCACCGAGGTTTGCAAATCAAGCCTCGACTTGAAGAACTCGATGATTTTCTCTTGTGTTTCCCTATTTTTCCCTCTCATGTAGCTCTTCAGGGAGGCTTTGTCGACCTCGAGTTTATTGGTCGACTTGGCGTGCGTTAGCATGTTGAGTTGGGGTGAAGGTTGGAGCGGTGGAAGTGGGGTCAGGTGAAGGGACAGCCACTGGATACGGCGGTTCACGGCAGCGATGGATGGGTGTTGTTCGTCCTCCGCTGTCTTATTTGGGTTCATTTTCTACAAAGAACAAAAAGGTCGGTGATTTGAACGGTGGTTTGTCTTCGTACGAATAAGAAGGTGAAGAAAAGGAGGAAGTGACTAGTGAGTAATTTTAAACACAAAAGCTATGGTAACATGTCGTATTTTGATTGGCGGGAAGAAAAATCTTTAGTTGTCGCGGGTACTTGTGGGGAATGGATAAAGTCATGACGTGGAATATTTTGTGACCGGTTGATGTGGATATTTTTTTATATTAATTTAATCGTAATTAAAAAATTTACGTCTAACAACATTTCTATATTTTACCTTTTCTAAATAATGATTAATATAAAATTAAATGTCTAAATCATATTTAAAACTAATTTTTGATGTTTAATTTTTTTTATTAAAAATAAGTGTATAATGTTTCTTCCATTACACTTTTAGGTTTCTACTGTTAATAAAAACGTGAGTGACATGTGTCACGTTTGATGTTTGATGATTATCAGTGACTTTATTTGATGTTTTGTTTATGCATGTTGGATGATTTTGTTAAACTTAGTACTTGATTATACTTGTTGATAACTTTTATGACGTTAGGTTGGTATTTGAGTTTGAGAATGAACTCTATTGAAGCCTAATATTGGTATCTATGATATTAGAGTTTGATTTGTAACAACCCGGATATTTTCAAAATAATATTTAATTGAAATTGGAGGTTTTAATTATGAAAATCGGTAAATTGTGGGGACTAAATTGAAAGATTTTAAAACTTGGAGCTTGTTTTAGAGTTAAAGAAAATTCAGGGACCAAGCCCTGAATTTACCCAAAAAAGTTAGGTATGTTATGTTATAAACGTGGTTTTTTGTTTCAAACAGAAAACCATCCCCTACGCCGGTTTCCGACTTAGATCCCGACACCGTTCGACCTCCAATCGTAAAATTGAAACTACCGTCGTGTTCATCTTCGACCTGTGAACAAAACCCAGTAAATCAATTATAGCGAAACGCTGCCAAACGACGTGAATTTCGAGTCAAAGTCTCGACGTTTTCTTAGCACTACCGCCGAGAAAATCTTAAATTCATCTCCGATCGTTGATCGGTTTTCGACACCTCCCGCACCATCGTGTTCCTTGTGCCGTTTCGAGTCCGCCGGTGTCAACCTTGGTCTCCGTCGACGGCGGCGCGTGAGGGGGTGGAGCAGTCAAAGATTCGGCCGAGTTGAAATCGAGCTCTCCGCCATTCAAAAATTTGAACCGATCTTTGTAAGTATCTCAAAATCGCTCAAAATAATTTTTAGAAATTTTTCCGTAATTTTTAGACCCCCGGAGGAGGCTTCACGCGCCACCGCTGGGAGAGTGAGTGGCTGAAAACCGGTTTGACCTGTTTCGACCGGTTCGAACCGGTTTGACCGGTCTGATCCGTTTCCGAAATCCGTTTCCGAAATCCGTTTCGTCAAATTCGAACCCGAAGGCCTCCAAATCGACGGTCAAAGTGGTTGACTTTGACTTTGACCAAGAATTTAAATTTTCGAAAAGACATACTTTATGTTTTTCGACATCCTGATTCCGATTCCGCAATCCGTTTGGCCAAACTCAAACCCGAAATCTTCCAAATTGATAGTCAAACCCTGAAAATGCTTATATACTTAAGAATTTTGCTTTGAACAATTAAGTAAGATTTGGGGCTGATAAATTATTATTGTTTGAAGGTACAAGAGACTCTCCGGATCGTTCGACAGCTCGACCCAGCTCTTCTAGATCAATTAAACCACGTATGCCAGTATTCACCCGTAAGACCCGTAAATTTTATGATTTTAGAGATTTATTTATGTTACCCATAAGTAATATAGTGTTATTATAAAATAGGTTCGAAAACTGTAGCAGAGCGTGGTGAAACCAGCAATCAGTATATCTACTATTTGAACCTATTATCGAGGTGTGTTCCCTAATTATTACTGAACTGTTTTATTGGTTTTAATACGAGGTATACTGAGTTCTTTGGTTACTGTTTTATTGATGCGCCAATTTAATGTGATGATTTATGGAATTTGTGTCACGGTGCAATTGAACTTTTGGATTGAATTACAATAGTATAGCTCTGATCAAGCTAATAAACAGAATGGGCCTAGTGTGACTCTTGGGGGCCCAAGATGCATTAGGTTGGCTTCCCTTGCTGTGTGCTTAGGGTAAGCTATATGGACTTGGACTTACGGGCTTAAGGATACAAGCTCTAAAGCTTATCCTTAGGATGGCTTTCTTTTTGCTGTGTTCTTAGAGTAAGCTACATGAAAAATAGTTTTGGAAATTACTGATGGTGTACAAGAAAAGAGTTTAAACTATGATTTTCAAAAGTTAAACTCTTTTATGAATTTATGAGATTTACTGGACTATGATTTGTTTAATGTACCTATTGTGATTTTAAGGTAATATTGGGACACACTGAGCCTAGCTCACCTTTCGAAAATGTTTTTCCCCCTTTCAGATACTGTTGGTTAGATACCCCGGATTGAGCACTTGGAGGGTCAACATATCTCTTGAAGTATATTTGATTGTAATGTTTTTATCATTCAGGTTGACTTTATTTTGGTGACATGGACCTTATTTTAAAGTATTGGATTTTATAGTGATTACACTTTTGCTATTAATATTCGGTTTAACGTGATTTTGAATTTTTTAAGACATGTTTTAAATTAATTTTTTTACTTATTGGTATTATATTTATGAGTTGGGTTTTGATAGTATAATATCATGTCATTTATAATGTGATTTTACAATGATTGAATAACGGTTTCAGAAAATGTCTTAAAATCACATTATTGCATTAATATATACATGCATTACAATTTTTTGGATATCATGCGCCTCGCCTTTGTGAATCCCGCGCCTTTCATGCGCTTCGCGCCTCAAGGCTCTAGGAAACTTTGCGCCTCGATGCGCCTTGAGCCTTTGATAACTTTGCAGGTTCATCTCTTCTTCCCCATACCATCTCATTTATTTAAAATCTCATTCGTCTCTCTCCACTTCTGCCATTGAAAGAAGAAAGAAAAAACTAAAAACTCCTTTAAACATCACCGAAATCTTCCATTTCTCTGTTTCCTCAGAAGAAATGAAAGAGAAAAACATATGGAAGAGCCTCCTTATCACGTCCTTCACAAGCTTCCTCCTGGGAACAACCCTTACGTTCGAGCCAAACATGTTCAGGAAATCTAAAGCCCAATCTGAAATGGGTCATTGTACGTGAATTGCTAAAAGCATCACCTCGTCGCCTCTCTCCACCTCGACGGCTGAATCGTCCTCGACTCACACTTGAAAATCAATCCACTAATTACTAAAAAATTTGAACTATCATTCGAGGTTTTCAAGTTGTATTTTATAACTCCATTTGAACTTGATATTTTTTCAAGTCGTGTTTTTGAAATTACAACTCGAAGTCAATTCAAGTAGATTCAAAAAATAATTTTTTGACTCGAGTCAAGTTTTTGCTCACCCCAAATGTTAGATATGATTTTGAAAGAAAAAAATAGTTGAGTGACTAAAAAGGAATTGCAGGAATATATGAGTGACTAAATATGAGTTTACCCTAAAAGTTATTGTATAACTGACATTTAGCAAAATCTTAGAAATTCAATAAAATATTTTAATAAAATATTAAAAGAAAGCCCGCAGCATGGGCTAACCCAAATCAAGTTCTAAAACAAAATGAATCTGGCGGATAACGCGTCCAGGTTCACATAGTTGTAAAAAGTGCGCCTAAGGTGCGCCTGAGGCGCAAAAGCGCAGAGGCCCACTGAACGGGGCTTTTTCAACACTGAAGCGAGGCACGTAGCCTAGGCGCACCTAAGCTCAGCGAGGCGCAGCAAGGCTCTGAGGCGCGAGGCTCAGTCGAGGCGTGATGTGGGCTTAAAACCTTGTGTTCCTTCATCGAAATCCCCGCCGAGGTTTGCAAATCGGGATTCGACTCGAAGAACTCGATGATTTTCTCTTTTGTTTCCCTATTTTTCCCTCTCATGTAGCCCTTTAGGGAGGCTTCGTCGACCTCGAGTTTATTGGTCGACTTGGCGTGCGTTAGCATGTTGAGTTGGGGTGAAGGTTGGAGCGGTGGAAGTGGGGTCAGGTGAAGGGACAGCCACTGGATACGGCGGTTCACGGCAGCGATGGATGGGTGTTGTTCGTCCTCCGCTGTCTTATTTGGGTTCATTTTCTACAAAGAACAAAAAGGTCGGTGATTTGAACGGTGGTTTGTCTTCGTACGAATAAGAAGGTGAAGAAAAGGAGGAAGTGACTAGTGAGTAATTTTAAACACAAAAGCTATGGTAACATGTCGTATTTTGATTGGCGGGAAGAAAAATCTTTAGTTGTCGCGGGTACTTGTGGGGAATGGATAAAGTCATGACGTGGAACATTTTGTGACCGGTTGATGTGGATATTTGTTTATATTAATTTAATCGTAATTAAAAATTTACGTCTAACAACATTTCTATATTTTACCTTTTCTAAATAATGATTAATATAAAATTAAATGTCTAAATCATATTTAAAATTAATTTTTGATGTTTAAATTTTTTTATTAAAAATAAGTGTATAATGTTTCTTCCATTACACTTTTAGGTTTCTATTGTTAATAAAAACGTGAGTGACATGTGTCACGTTTGATGTTTGATGATTATCAGTGACTATTGTTTATGCATGTTGGATGCTTTTGTTAAACTTAGTACTTGATTATGCTTGTTGATAGCTTTTATGACGTTAGGTTGGTATTTGAGTTTGAAAATGAACTCTATTGAAGCCTAATATTGGTATCTATGATATTTGAGTTTGATTGCATTAATATATACATGTATTACAATTTTTTGGATATCATGCGCCTCGCCTTTGTGAATCTCGCGCCTTTCATGCACTTCGCGCCTCAAGGCTCTAGGAAACTTTGCGCCTCGATGCGCCTTGAGCCTTTGATAACTTTGCAGGTTCATCTCTTCTTCCCCATACCATCTCATTTATTTAAAATCTCATTCGTCTCTCTCCACTTCTGCCATTGAAAGAAGAAAGAAAAAACTAAAAACTCCTTTAAACATCACCGAAATCTTCCATTTCTCAGTTTCCTCAGAAGAAATGAAAGAGAAAAAACAGATGGAAGAGCCTCCTTACCACGTCCTTCACAAGCTTCCTCCTGGGAACAACCCTTACGTTCGAGCCAAACATGTTCAGGAAATCTAAAGCCCAATCTGAAATGGGTCAATGTACGTGAATTGCTAAAAGCATCGCCTCGTCGCCTCTCTCCACCTCCGACGACTGAATCGTCCTCTACTCATACTTGAAAATCAATCCACTAATTACTAAAAAATTTGAACTACCATTCGAGGTTTTCAAGTTGTATTTTATAACTCCATTTGAAGTTGAAATTTTTTCAAGTCGTGTTTTTGAAATTACAACTCGAAGTCAATTCAAGTAGATTCAAAAAATAATTTTTTGACTCGAGTCAAGTTTTTGCTCACCCCTAATGTTAGATATGATTTTGAAAGAAAAAAATAGTTGAGTGACTAAAAAGGAATTGCAGGAATATATGAGTGACTAAATATGAGTTTACCCTAAAAGTTATTGTATAACTATGACATTTAGCAAAATCTTTGAAATTCAATAAAATATTTTAATAAAATATTAAAAGAAAGCCCGCAACATGGGCTAACCCAAATCAAGTCCTAAAACAAAATGAATCTGGCGGATAACGCGTCCAGGTTCATCTCTTCTTCCCCATACCATCTCATTTGTTTAAAATCTCATTCGTCTCTCTCCACTTCTGCCATTGACAGAAGAAAGAAAAAACTAAAAACTCCTTTAAACATCACCGAAATCTTCCATTTCTCTGTTTCCTCAGAAGAAATGAAAGAGAAAAAACAGATGGAAGAGCCTCCTTACCACGTCCTTCACAAGCTTCCTCCTGGGAACAGCCCTTACGTTCGAGCCAAACATGTTCAGGAAATCTAAAGCCCAATCTGAAATGGGTCATTGTACGTGAATTGCTAAAAGCATCGCCTCGTCGCCTATCTCAGCCTCCGACGGCTGAATCGCCGCCTCATGTACTCGCCACCGCCTTGGTGGTCGGAGGCTTTCTTCTAAACGCCTCGCCTCGCCTAGCGCCTGAAAGCGCCTCAAGCGCGTTTTTTAAAACACGGGTCATTTTGGCCCTCAACGTTTCCTTTTAGGACAAAAGGCCCCCTAACATTTGACTAAATCGTCACTTTTGCTCGTATTTTTTCCCGAGCATTCCAACATTTCATTTTAGGGAGAAAAAAGGCATCTATATCAAAACTTTAACCGTTTGTTAACTAACGATTTTCATCCACTGTGGGGCCTTTTTGCCCCAAAATGAAACATTGTGACCAAAATGCTAAAAAAAAAGAGGGACAAAGCGACTATTTAATCAAGCTTTAGGGGTATTTTTTGACATAATGACAAAAAAAGCCCATAATGTTTGACTAAATAGTCACTTTGGCCCCTAAAAACCGTTAGTTAACAAATGGTCAACTCCCTAAAATAAGAGTTTTTTATCCTAAACTGAGAAATGTTAGGGCTCAAAATGCTTCAGAAAGAAAAAGAGCTAAAGTGACTATTTAATCGAACATTAAGAGACTTTTTACCTTAAAATGAAAGTTAAGGCCAAAATACTCTAAAAAAATAATAGGGGCCAAAAAATAATTATTTATCAAATGTTAGGTTTTTTTTCATTAAACCTAATTATATTACCACCACCTATTACATAAATCACTCCTCAGATCAAAAAGATGGTGCAAGCACCATAACCATCAGTTGAGTCTCCATAACGGGTTCTGATTATTGAACATGTTTGTTATATTTTGTGCAATTCATTTCAGAAAATAATGATATTCCGCATCACTTAAGGATACATCACAGAAAGAACTCACTCTAGTGAAAAACACCCACGTCCAATGTAAATATGAGGACCTTAAATTCAATAAAAAATCTACCTTTTCATCTTCAACATGTAGTTGCCGCAACTGCTTTTTATAGCAAAATTCATAGGACCACCAACCTTCTTGCTGCACAAAAACAGAGCTCACATAACTCCAATGAAGGACAAAGTCTTTCTTTTCTTTGCATTAATGTCCAATGGCAACATCATCAATTCAATATAGGGAACATCAAACAAACAGTGTGTGTAGGAACCAAGTGCTCACTCTGATAAAGCATCGATCTTTCAGTACTTCCAGCAGTTCATCAGGTGTCTTTAGTTTAACCCGTTTTTCGGATTCTACAATCATGCTACTAGTGTTCTTCTGAGTAACAGAATTTAGGGTCCTCGCGTTCTCCACCTTAGGCAATAAACATAAAAAATTCTTTCCATCTTTATTAGGCATAACAACAGACTCCTGATCATCATCCTGCAATATGTTCCAGGCATTGTAATATTAGATCACTAAAAATGGCAAGTCCAGATGGAAATTGATAGTTTCACATCAAAGGAAAACTAGCCTGCCAAAGCTATACGCAAATGGAAAATTATAACAAGATTAAGACAGCCAAGATTTTCATTGTTCTTATACCATTATAACCATCTTTCATAGAAACAGTATCAAGTTGCTATCTACTCATAGTTCGAACACATCTTCTCCAATTTCTAAATACAAACTTTCTCAAGCATTTGAACGTATAAAATGAATCATTATTCTGAAGTGTTCTGCTAGATAAAAAGCAATCTAGTTTATTTGAACTCCGGCTCACACTAAGGTGTACATGTAAAAGATTTTTACCATTTATAAATTTTAATCGCTGAAGGAAATTTGCGGTGGTGAAAAGAAAAGTTTAGTGTTATCCTACATCTGTTAAATATTCTGTTTCACATGTATTAACAACTGGTTTTAAGTTGATTATTCAACATAAAGCCCCAATGGACATCCAGATGATGCTTCAGAACTTCATAAAAGAAAACATCTCATATAGAAGTTCATTATACAAATCCATCATGCACTAAGATCCTAAAAGGATGAGATCTAACTTAAATTCCTTTTACATGTTTAAAGCAACTCTTAATGAGATAGATTTGCCAACAAAAGTGTGTAAGCAGGAAATAAAAACTTCAAAGTGTTCATCAAGATTTCATCAAACCTAAGATTGAAGAGCAAAAAGTGTTTAAATTATACTCTTACTTACGGGATGGTAGGGAGAGTCTTCAGAATGGAACTCAATCTTGTATTTTGGTTCACGGGCGCTCCGGCCAAGTGTGCCGGCTGTTTGTCAGTAAAGAATTCGAAAAGCATCAAAAAGAAGTAGAACCAATATTGCAAATACTTTTTTTTTTTAAAAAGTAAGAAAAGTACTAGACGCAGCCAATAAATCAGTTGCAATATAGTTAGATGGGAAATCTGTGAATGATAACATCACATACAAAGACTGATTTGGTTGCAACAATTAACAGCTCTTTCTAATGACGCTTGGGGTTAGTGAAGATCATGCATTCTGTTTTTTCTCTTCTTCTTTTTTCAGTCTCTGGTTTACTTGGCTTTCAAGTTCACCCTTTTATATTTACCAACTAATAGCCTTTCATTGACTCATAGACACAAAGCTACAAGAACATAAGCCAATTATCAGCGGTTCACCATGCATGTCAGCTATGATCCATAATATCCAATTATATCAAACAATCAGCTCTTAGCATAACTCTGCTCCCACTCAGTTTAGCCTTTGATTTGTATAAAATTATACTTTGCCGGTTTGCCCCACTCAAGCTGATATTTTGGCTCAGCCCCTACTTATTCATAACTATTAAAAAAACATTTGCCAAAAGTAGTTGCCCTCATTTGATTACGACACTTAATTGAATCAAATTCCAAAACCACAAAAAAAAATCCATTTCTTATCATTGACGAATATGGAACTAATCAGGAATGGACTGAGGGGAGCTGGCGGGACAGTCCCTGAAAATTTTCAATTTTTTGTATAATTTAGATATTTCTTTTAGTATCTATGGATAATATATTTTCGAGCCTAAAATTTAATAAGTTCAATCTACTATAGTAAAATCCTGCATCCCGTCCTAAAACTAATGAAGCTTCTTCCCTTCTTTGGTTCTAATTTCAGTACTCAAGCACTAATTAACAATAAAATGCAGCATATCTTATAATCGAGGAAATATTCATAAATCTAAAAGAACAGAATCATTGGGAATAGTTATTCTAAATTCCATCATAAGGTCTCATGAGCTCAATTCTCCTATGTTTCACACATGAAAGCAATAATCAAAGAGAACCCAGAACTAAAAAAAGTAGATGAATTATATATATTTATATATGTATGTATGAAATATGGGCTTACCCACTTGAGAGGGGAAAATCTAATCGGCTAAGCCATTGGTGCCCAATCTGTAAAAAAGTGCTACAAAACTAAGAAACAATCTCACACTTGGTTTTTCTTTCTGAAGAAACGTTTTGTTAGTGCAAAGGAGAAGATGTACCCCAAAGCTGATGAAGATGACATAAGTCTACGCAGATCCAGCAATGGGATCACGCCACGTCACGTAAAGGTGTGACGGTGGCTGAGATGGGCTTGTCCACGACCACTAACATGGGCGAACCGTAAGGGCCCTGTATTTCAAAATTTTAGAAAATTAATATTTAGTTTTGTATTTTTTTCAAATTATTTAATTCTTTTAAAAAATAAATGCTAATTATATTTTAAAAATAAATATTTTTAATTAATTATCCTCTTAATTTAAAAAAATTATTAAGTTTCAAAAGTTTTAAAATTTTAGCTAAATCTCTAAATTTTTTTTTTAAAAAAATAAATCTTTCAAAGTTTATAAAAGCTTACATTTATACTTGTAAATTCTTTTTAAAAAATTAAATAGATCATCTAAATTATGTCACTCTAGCATGAACATGTAACACCCTAATTGAATATGACCCGCAGATCAAAAGATTAAAACATTACAAGAAATCACCAAAGTAGCTAACTTAAATTTTCTTTTTAAATCACATGGTAATACTCATTAAGATAACATCATTTGAAACAATACATGAAAATATAAGTATTTAAGTTTACAAAAGTGGGGAGCTCCTAATACATTTCAAAATAATAAATAAAAAGTATTTCAAAAATAGAGTTAAAACTTAAATACATGAAGGTCTATTAATAGTATACACCCAATAAATAAACTCAAGACGTACTCCACTGTTTTGAAAGATCTGGAATGAGAGTTGTGCAATAAACTCCTCGATGATCCTCCTAAGAATCTACGCATGGAAATAAATTCTGAGCTCTAAGCTCACAAACTCAATGTCACACTAATAATTATGTTATACTACACGCGTTCATCACATGGTCATGCTAACAAGTAAAGACATAAGCATACAAGTTCACTAATCACTCATGTTGAGGTAGACATCATGGTGTGGTCAGAGGGTTTGCTACATCTCAGGACTCATACCCCTATATCTTACTTACAGTATCCTCAGGTATTTAAGGTGAGATCCAAAATTTCTATATCGGAAACGTATACCCGACCAAGTTACTCATTGTGTACTTGGGGTATCTGTGCCCGACTAGCAACTAAAGTACCTAGACACTAGCTAAGATATATTCGTATATTCTAATCAAACAAGACGATCATCATACTAACTAAAGTAACTCGAGTGTCCTTGTTGTTTCCCAAGTGTCACTCAAAGGCTAGTTTTATGACATATTATTTCATAAGCATTCTTATGCTTTTCTGTACTTATTAGTTCTTCTAACTTGGAAGTTTATTAGAGAAGTATTTATTTTCGTGGACCCCTTTCCTGAACCTTTCTCTCAAGGTGAGGCTTCTTGTCCAAAATTATGTGATGGAAATGATACTAAGCCCTTTGGTATTGATAGTGGCCCTTCAATATCAGTACTCACCCTTGGTACCGATACCAAATCTTCTTACTGAAATATGAGAAAGTCTTGTAGTATCGATACCCCTATTTGGACTATTGATACCCCTTTACTAGAGTATCGATACCAAATTTTGCTACTAAAATTTAAAACTCGATATTGGTATCGATACCCCACCCTTGGGTATCGACACTCAAAGAATAATATCGATATCATATGAAGATGGTACTATACTACTCTGCTAAAACCCCCTTATTTTGGCTATCTGAAGAACAATATTGATATTATTCATCTAGTATCGATACTCAAGCTCATAAATACTTTATTTTCTCAAAAAAATAACACCAAACTTTACTCGTTTTCCTATTTAAGTCTCTTAAACGTTATTTAAGTCTTATATAAGCCGAAAGGGGTCATAATAAGTCATTGTTTTATGTTGTATAGCATCATAAACCGTAACCTACCACGAGATGCACTTACTTGCTTAATAAACTCATACAAACTACCAAGCACAACTAATGACTCAAAAGTGATATACAAAACTTATAAATGTGTTACCTTAGTTTTAAATTGTTGCAAAACAATCACCACTTAGTCAAGTACCAGCTTTTTATTGCCTTTGATCTTGAAATTTTCTCCAACTTATTTCACTAGACAATAATCAATGAAATGGGTTACTAACTCACATACGAATCTAAGAAGGTTTTCCTAAATCTCTAACCTATAAAAAATGAGCTAATTAAGCAAGGGTTTCTAAATTCCTACCTATGACCACCATGATCAAAGCTTGAGTTTAAGAGCTTGAAAGGAAGCTTAGAATAAGAGGATTACAACTCTTACTTTGAGATTCACATGCCAGACATACACAACTACAAAGCTATTACCTTATTTCAAGATACAATAAAGAACAAGGAAAGTTTGAATGGGAGAAGAAAATAAGCTTGGGTGAAAGAAAAAGAGAAGATGAGACAACTTTGCTCTCTTCTCAGTCGTATAGATCACCTCTAGTTTTGCCCCTAAATTATATATATATATATAATTTGGTTCAACTCAAGTCCAAACCAACTCAAATTGGTGTTAGTGGTTTTATTCAAACCCACTCGGATTAGCCTGAAACTATTAACCCAAGATTTGGGACATTATAGAATCTAACAACCTCAGTGATAAAAGAATTGTTGTTATTTCTTGAGGTCTCAAGTTCAAGCACTAACCCAAAGTGGTGTTAGTGGTTTTATTCAAACCCACTCGGATTAGCCTGAAACTACTAACCCAAGATTTGGGACATTATAGAATCTAACAACCTCAGTGATAAAAGAATTGTTGTTATTTCTTGAGTTCCCAAGTTCAAGCACTAAGAATACTAGGGATATGAGCGTTCAATGTCAAATGGTTGAAAGTTACATTTGGAAAGATACTACCTTGTACTTACTCCATATTAACTAAAAAAATTATGTTACAGGCATGAACCAGATGACTTTAATGGTTAAAAGATATTTATTATCCCTAAAGGTCAGGGATGGACAAGGGAGTGACGAATGGGGACATTCACCGCCTAAAAATTTAAAATTATCATACATTTTAGATTTTTCTATATATTTTATATTGAAAATCTATTTTCGTCTCCTTAAATTTCATAAGTTCATCCATTTCTAAAAGTTTAGAAGTTTGCCCCCAACATAAAATTTTACGTCAATCGATGAATAAAAGTCATGGATTCGAGCACGACGACTGTAGGAGTTCTTGAGCGTTTAGTATTAAATAATTAAGAATTTTTTGAACAAAATATTATATTATAATTACCCAAACTAATGACTAGTTCGACGGTTCCATATGATTATTTGATTTCTTTTATTTTGAGGTTTAAATGAGTTGGACTTGTTTGAGATTTATGGGCCTCTTCTTTTTATCAATACAAGTTTTTTGACATATTTATAATATCTAAGATTCTTAATTACATTACTTAAACTCACAATGTTTTTTCATAAATTTAATTATAGAATTTGAATTTATATATAATATCTAAATTATTTCACATTTCTAAATTAAACATATGTTTAAATTTATATTTTCTCAGATATTATAAATATTAATTTATCAAGTAATATATAAGAGTATAAACTAATCGAATATGAACGAATAATAAGGTTATGGGAATCATCTAGTGAAGTCGGTGGCAACATCACTTTGGAGGGCTATAAAAGAAAGAGGGGCATTGGGATTTAAGGAAGTGAATAATGAATGTCACGTTTTTGTGGGTGGGAATCTTTCTTCCGACGAAACCAATAGTTTCCAATAACACGTCTTACCGTTTACCGTTTACCGTTTGCCTTGGAAGTTGCTTTTTCACCCACCCCATATTCACGCGTTTTTATTTATTTATTTATTTTATGCGGCTCAAATTTCAAGGCATTCTGTGTATATATATATATATATATATATATTTTTCTTTAAATATGCTTCATATCAAATATGAATCAATACTTAACGTTTCAAATAACTGAAAATTAATATGGTTTAATTGGATTTTTTTAAAAATTTAATATAATTCTAAGAATATTTGTTGTAATTAATTCACCATTCAAATATTTTAATATTTATAGTGAGAATTTAAAGAGGCTATTTTTTTGCAATAATACAGTAAGAAAAAAATTGATCGAATAAGATATTCTCGGAATTCTTTTTAAATACGGTGATTGTTACAGTACACTCTAAAGACGCATTGCAGTCTATGCGACTCTAATATAAAATTGAGAGAGACGCATGGAGTACTATGCATCTCCTATTTTTTTCATATTTTATTTTTTATTTAAGTTTTAATTATTATATAACAAATTGGGAAGACTAAAATTGGTAGGGTGAGGGGAGACGCATTGTGATCCAGGGGAGGGAGAGTCGAGTGATGTTCCATGCGACCTTAAGGAAAAGCGAAAAGTTCAGTGTAACTTCGATGTGTATTATAACATTCACTTCATTTGAGTAAATAATCTTTCGGATGTTCTATTCGAATAAATATTTTTTTCAAATGCATTATTGCAAAAAAAAAAATCATCCATTTAAAAAAGCTAATTGGTTATGTTTGTATGCGTCTTCTCCATTTCTAGTCTTTGTTGTATATGTTCGTCAATAGTAAATCGGCTCCGTTAAGTAGTATGGAGGAGTTTGGACTGTTTAATGTTCGTATTTCATGTGTGTTGTCATCTTTCACCCCAAGGCTCACTCTTTTTCCTCCAATTAAGATTAGGGAGATTTTTTAATGAGGTCCTTGATATGATGTTCTTTATTTTACCCTATTAAAAAAAAAAAAAAGAAGCTGAGAGAGGTGGTGTAATGAGGAATGAAGGTGGCAGGCAGTAGTCAAAACAAATCTCTGCCTTTGGCATTTTGTCAAAGACAATAAACCTGGAAGGAATCTCTTGGAAAATGGGATTAAACTCAAGCTTATTTTCTCAAAAAACATTATAATTCTAATAAAAACAAATTTCATCTCTTCTCTTTTTCTTCTCTATCCTCCCTGCAACACACATATTCCATTCTCTCATTTAAAAGAAAAAAAAGACATTATCTTTTTGAAATTTCCAGGAAAATTCCTACAGCTTGAATTCATATTCCCAGATAAGTCTCCCGCTTTCAAGTTTTCTCCTTTAGTTTTGTTTGTGCATGAAAGTTCTTCCCTTTTTTAGCTGAAGTTAAGGACTTGAGGATTGTTTGTTTCTCTCTTGGATTTCTTAGTACTTTCTCTTTAGTAATTCCTTTTGGTATCTGGGTTTTAATGGTTTTAGGTGCCTAATATCTTTTTATTTCATATCTGCTGCATTTGAACTGGTTTTTTTAATCTTTCTTCATGGTGAAATTTCGAAGTTAAAGGTCTCTTTGGTAACTAATTTCATCCTTGGTGAGAGGTTGTTTGTGTTTTTAGCTTTTGGGGTTGACCTTTTGACTTGTATAACAAGTTATTTCATATCTGGTGTGTTTGAACTGGTTTTTTGAATCTTTCTTCATAGTGATAGTTGTCAAAAGTTTTGATTTCTTCTTCTTGTTTCATTTGATTTGTTTGTGCGGGTTTCTAGTTCGAGTCTAGTTCTGGTTCAAGTTATTTTCTTTTTGTTGGATTTGCAATGGGGAAGCATGGTGGAAAGAACAAGAAGCAGACAGGACAAACAGGTGATAATAACATGAAGCAAAACAAAGTCCGAGACAATCGTTCAAAATCGTATGATTCCGACACGGCGGTTTTCATCGCCATGTCTCGAGAACTGAAGGAAGAAGGGAACAGACTGTTTCAGAAAAGGGACCTTGAAGGAGCAATGATGATATATGAAAAGGCCCTTAAATTGCTTCCCAAGAATCACATAGATGTATGCCATCTAAGGACCAATATTGCAGCATGTTATATGCAGATGGGGCTGAGCGAGTACCCTAAGGCAATCCATGAGTGTAATTTGGCCCTAGAGGTAACACCAAAGTATAGTAAAGCACTTGTAAAACGATCGAGGTGTTTTGAGTCTCTGAATCGGCTGGATTTAGCTTTCAGAGATGTTAATGCAGTTCTTAACATGGAGCCTAGTAATACCATAGCATTAGAGATTTCAGAAAGGGTAAGAAGTTCACTTGAGAAACAAGGTGTACCGGTTGAATTACATCTTGAATCCATCGAGCCTCATAGTTCTTCGAAGGTTCTCGTCAAAGAAAAAACGGAGAAAAAGATCAGCGAGGTTGAAGAATACGTTGAACCGCCAAGCGCGTTGCAGGCTTTAAAAGTTGTTAAAGAAAAAACCGAGAATGACATAGTTGTGGATCTAATTGAGGTGAAGAAGGTTGATGAGCCTGTGGAGGAAAAGAAGGCTGAAGATAAATATGTTGAACCACCAAGCGCATCACGAACTTCGAAAGTTGTCGAAGAGAAAAGAGAAGAGGAAGATCAGTGAAACTCAGGATGACATGGTTGTAGATCAAATCGAGGATAAGAAGGTTGATGAAAGCGTAGAGCAAAAGAAAGCTGAGGATAAACAGGTTGTTGAGGAGAAAATCAGCAGCAAAATGGAAGTACCAAAGAAGAGTGTGAAGTTGATTTTGGGTGAAGATATAAGATGGGCTCAGTTGCCACTTAATTGCAGCCTTGTGCAACTAAGGGAAGTAACTCGCGATCGATTTCCTAGCTCGAGAGCGGTTCTTGTTAAATACAGAGATGAAGAAGGTGATTTAGTCACAATCACCAGTGATGAAGAGTTGAGATTGGCTGAAATAGCAGCAGGATCACAGGGTTCTGTGAGGCTATATGTTGTGGAAGTTGATTCCAAGCAGGATCCGTTCTCCGAGAGATTTAATCGTGATGGAGTTCACAATGTTGACATTAAACGAGGTAAGGCTGCTGAAAACGGTGATGCTAGAACGGTTATGGAAAACGGAAAAGACTCGTGTTGCATCGATGATTGGATAATCGAGTTTGCTCAACTATTCAAGAACCATGTTGGCTTTGATTTAGATGAATACTTGAATCTTCATGAGCTTGGTATAAAGCAATATTCTGAGGCCATGGAGGACACAGTTACAAGTGAAGAGGCCCAGGACCTTTTCGACATGGCAGCTGAGAAATTCCAAGAGATGACAGCATTAGCATTGTTCAACTGGGGAAACGTTCACATGTCCCGAGCTATGAAGAGGGTCTACGTTACCGAAAATGGTTCGAGAGAATCCATACTTGAGCAAAGCAAAAGTACCTATGATCATGCACAATTAGAATACAGCAAAGCTGGTAAGAGATATGAGGAAGCGCTGAGAATCAAACCAGATTTCTATGAAGCTCATCTAGCTCTTGGGCAACAACAATTTGAGCAGGCAAAACTTTATTAGCATTTCGCAATCTCAAATAACGTTGATCGGGAAACATGGCCTTCTGAGAAGGTCCTGCACCTCTATAACAACGCCGAAGAAAATATGGAGAGGGGTATGCAGATGTGGGAGGAGTCACAAAGGCAGCGCCTGTGTGAACTTTCAGGCTCAAACAACGAACAAAATCAGTTGAAGAAAACCAGATCGCACGGTTTATTCCAAGATATATCAACAGATGAAGTTGCAGAGCAGGCAATCAACTTGAGTGCTCAGATAAACCTGTTATGGGGTACCATACTTTATGAACGTTCAATCATGGAATTCAAATTAGGGCTCCCCGTCTGGCATGAATGTTTGGAGGTTGCTATTGAGAAATTCGAGCATGCAGGAGTCTCTCCAATAGATATAACTGTTATGGTAAAGAACCATTGTTCGAATAACATCGCACCGGAAGGTAATATAGCTAGAAATTCGTAACTTTGTGTCATAGCTGACATCTTCATAAACCTTGAAAGCACATCTCTTGTCACTTGCAGGCTTAGGGTTTAAGATTGACGAGATAATACAGGCATGGAATGAGATGTATGAAGCTAAAAAGTGGAAGAACAAGATTCGGTCGTGTCGACTAGAACCGTTGCTTAGAAGGCGTGTTTTGAAAATTTATCATGCATGAGTTGCATGTTGATTTTGAGTGGCATCTTCCAGGATTCCAGTTGGTCAAAAGACATCTAAGTTCATGTTATTTGAAGTGAGATATAGTATTGCATTATAGTTAGGTAAGTTGATTCTTTTTGTAGTTAAAAAAAAGACTGATAAAATCTGCTGCAATTCATATCATGCACTTGAAATTTTCACTTTAATGGAATAGATGTTTCAACTTCTACTTTATTTAAAAAAAATATTTTCTCTTGACATTTTATTTTAAGAAATATCTCACTAAATAATTATTTTAATCTTTATTTTTTAGACATTTTAACCATCAACGTTTTATTTTAAGACAAAAAATCTCCTATTTTGAAACGTTAACCGTTTGTTGATTAATGATTCTCTCCATAGATTTCACAAAAGAGCCTTTTTGCTCTAAAATAAAGCATTAGAGACCAAAATACTCCCCAGAAAAAAAAATAAAGATTACGATTCCCTCCACAGATTTCACAGAAGAGCCTTTTTGCTCTAAAATAAAACATTAGATATCAGAATACTCCATATAAAAAAACAAAGATTATTTTTAATTATTTAATTAAATACGAGATATTTTTTTTTATCATTATGCCTTTGCTAAACTGGTTTGTGACATTTAATTACATGTTTATTCACCTCCCTTACCATGTTTTCGGAAAATTGTATGCGGTTATTTCCAGGAATAGCATAGGATTATCCCTTGTGCAGGGTTCTTTTTTCTGCTATTTCTTTTACATCAAACATCAACCTTAAACTTTCAGATTCAAAGGAAACTGTTGGATTCATGGAAGTTGTGCGATTCCCTTTCAAGAAAAGGTTATGAATACGTATTTGGGGATGACTTGAAGCAGAAGCAGAAGAAGCAGCAGCAGCAGGGATCTCAAGTGTTTTTGTTGGTTTCTGCTTTGGCCTTCATCAGTTTCCTCCAACCTCAAAGAAGTGTAGAATATATGCTGGATTCATTATTTAAATTGCAGTAATTTATAGTTTGTTTCAGAAGTTTCTTTTGATTTTAAGAACTTGGTAGTTTTACTAAGAACTTTAAGAAGACAATTCTGTATTCGGTTGATGATGATCCTATTTTTTCTTGTATTGCAAAAGCAGCTTTTCACGTTTCAATATACACACTTATCTAGTAGTCCGGAAAGCTAACCCCATCTGATAGCAGCTATCTACAATTACAGCATGCGTTGCACTTTTCCTCCCCCTGCTTTTATTCCGGTCGAGAGCTCACGAGGTTAGGGAGGGCCGCTGACTGAAGCTTCTTAATTTGGGCGGAGGTTACCTGGCTCGAGTCCAAAGATAGCGACCGTAAATTCTTTAGAGGCTTTAAATATGATAAACCGTCATTAGTTATGTTGGAGTTCAAAACATTTAACGACACCAATGCGGTCAATCCTGCATTCAAAACATAATGCAAGAACGATCAGCAGAAGAGCTCGGTGACTTCATCAGAGAACGCAGCAAACGACAAGAATATCTTCACTTCCAGTAGCCACTAATAGCAGTACCAAATCAGCTCTCAATTAATCAATTTTCAGACCTGCCATTCATCTTGTATACTTAAAGACTTCAGACATATTTAGTATACATCACTGTATCGGATTCTGTATGAACACGGTAATGTCTGTTCTAGAAACGGGGTGAAAACGAACAACACAAAACCCTGAGACGTAGAAGCAAAATATACCTGAAATAAACTCCAAGGATTTGTTTGTCAGGTTGCAGTTTTGTGAAAGGTTCAGTAGTATTAACGAGCGGAGATCTTTGATATTTTTCACACCAGCATCAGTTAAACCCCCGCATCATATTTCGAGGGATTGGAGGTTCTTGAAGCCCGCTTTAGCATGTAAATGGCAGGTGTAAGAATATTTGAAGACAAAAATAAACACATTAAAACTGTTAGAAAAGTCTACAATGAAACTCAGAGATCATAAGAACTCTATACCGTTGGAGATATGCACCTCAATACATTATCTAAAGGAACTTATATTTCTCAGTTACCCCTGAACTCTATCAATCCTCATGAGCCAATGAGCAAAACAAAACAATCAAGTTTTCCAAGTTAGCAAAAATAAGGACATCTAGGAAACATAGGTTAACGGCTACAATGATCATGCAACTTTCGATTTTTAGTTACTTAAGCCATGTCAATACTTCTGGCATACATCGCAAATAATTTGTTCCACTGTCTAAAGTCCTAGCCCCAAAGAGATCTAGATGCACCAGTATCTATAGATTGAGATCATCAGCAATTCGGAGCCACTTTGAGTTGGTTTTGGGAAAATAAATCAAGCCAATAAGACATCCTTGCGCAGCTAATTGGTATGGCATTTTTAATGAATCACAGAAAGATACACCATCCTAACTGGAGAATGACACCACTAAATTGGTTTCCATATGATAGCACAACTATACACCCAGAGCCATAGATGAAATGGTGTTATGCCATCTTAAAACTAAAAAGAACGAATTGAAACCATGGGAATTTTAGGTCATTGGTTATTCTTTACAAGTAAAGTTATAATGAAGGATCTGTTTGAACACCTTTGAAGTTATATTCTTTATTTAAATATATTTATCTAAAGATTAGGCGTTTTCATATATATGGATATGATCATAGGTGAAAGCTCAGCAAATTTTATGATCCCAAACATGGCTATCTAATAGTACAAGGCAAGAAACAGGGTGTAGACATCCTAGTAAACATAAAAATCAAGGGGAAAAAACCTCAGCATCCGTTTACAACATAAAAACCAGCAAGAAGACTTCTGCTTCAACAAAGATACAAAATCCAGTTTCAAAAGCCATAAATAAGAGCTGTTAATCCAGACAACTTTTTTGGACCACTATCAGTCACTAAAGTGAATTACAGATTCAAGGTCTCCAGATGAGTCAAACCTAATAAAAGCAGAAACAAGTCAGCATCATGTATTCACATTTTAATGCAGTGAATATTTCAGAAATAGGTAATTTTAGTATCATTCACGAAGCAAACACTACAAAGATATGACTGCCCCAAAATCTGTAATGAATTCTATCCACTGATATAAATTCAACTTGCTTTCAGGGTCATCGTGTAAGCCATAAATTCACTTCCAGCAACAAATGAACAAATGAAAGTAGGGAAAAAATCTCATTTCTCCTTCAAATTATCATCATATGCAGACGGCAATAGTAGTGGAGCAATACATCTCAAAGAAATCCAGATAAATAAACATTTAAAATGTGTTAAGACGCACACACACACGCGCATGAAAATATATTTTTGGATAAAATTTTGAACTGACAAAAAATACCCTTTATTATTTATTATAACCTTGACATTAGAAAAATATTTTATTTTTATTATTAAATCTTGAATAATAAAAAAATATTAAAGCAGAAATTACACTTTGTATCCGTATTTAGATTACACTTGCACTATGATTTAACTTCTTCAATTTAGAGTTACACTTTTACAGATATTTTAATAATATAACGTTGACCATATAAAATAGATGCTCTAACATTCAACATTTAGGCAATTTCATTCAACTAGTAACCAAAAGAATTGATAAAAAATCGAATTCCACTGTTATTTTCATTCAAAATGCTTTGAAGTATTTTACTGTTGTCATACTTTAATTATCAAAATAGTTAATATATTTCAATTATGTGCTGCAATCAGAATAATATTACTTTCCATTAATTACATGAAATAAAAATAAATTATTTAATGAATTAAAAAAAAGGAACACGTAAAATCACATTCATTAGGAACTAGTTAACTCATAAAAAGGACAAGACAATTAAGAAAGCATCTTGAAGGAACCTGCAAACGATGTTCCTTATGAAGCACACCTAATGGGAGGATATGTTTAAATATATGTATCACTGAACTCGAATGATGTTTGTGGCTAACATCAAGAATTCAGAACCAAAAATGTCACAGAGGTCCAAGATGATAAGATAGAGATTATTAACCAGAGAGGTGCCGTAGCCCATTGCTCCCGACTTCAATGTCGGACAACTCTAGACTTTTGAGGAGTGACAGGCCTGAAAATAAATCGCAATATAAAACTCAGTCATGAAAATTTTTAAAGCAAAGGGAGATTCTCCAATAGTTTAACTAGTGTGAAATGAAACATGATATGTAAACCTGTCAAATGAGCAAGGCCTTAATCCCCAACTTTACATGAATCTAAATTCAGGCTCTCCAAATTTGTTAATCCTGGAAAGAAAAGATATACCAGATCAACAAACTTAACACTTACTCAAAGTCACCAAAATCACATACATAAAATAAACCAGAAATCAGTTAGAACTTATTTTCAGATTTTTAAACTTTACCAACGAAGCTTTCAAAGAACTATATATCATCTCACTACACTATCATTAACTATCACCTAGTGATCTCAAGTCAATGGCGTAGTAATTTTCAAAACCAAAAACATAATATTAAATTTGCAAATACCATCATTACAGTTTCATAGGATAGTTTTACCTTAGTGTGCTAGGTGCCAAATCAACAGTAACAAACTTTAACAATAGGAATGTCTCAATCACCATATTTTATGGAAAGTCACAGAGCAATTCAATAAGACAACCTAGAAAATTTCATTAACTCACACAAACTATAATGGTTGCTCAAGGCCAAAAGAAAAAAAAGAAAAAGAGAGATTGCAGATCCCCTGCCAATACAAGTCGAACAAAAGGACCACAACGTAGTGGCAACTTGGAAGAGAGGGGGGGGGGGGCAGAGAGAGAGAGAGAGAGAGAGAACCTTTTAGGTGCACTATGCATGCATCTGTTATATTGTTAAATACCAGGTTCAATACCTTCAAATTCTTAAGTCCTGCAAATGGTAGTAAATACTGTAAACATTCCAACTATACTTTGCAATGTAGTAGTTCTACACAATGGTTCAAGAATCAAAGGATTAAAAGAATTCAAACACAACTCACCAGAAAACTTGTCACATCCATCATCAGTTAGGCCACATCTTCCAGGATTTAAGTATGCCAAAGCGACAAGAGCTGCACATAGAATAAATAATTTTTAGTATTAACCGAACATGATATATGTTCTCTGGTATCTAGTTAAATAACATATTACAATTCCAATCCCCCCTTCACAGGGAAGAAGCTTAAGAGATTACGTCCACCTACTAGTTTCCCCCATGAACTACATATCACTACATCTGAAGGCACAACCATGTTCAATGTATAACAGCTACAAAATTTACGATTATACTATCAATGGAGGTAAGTAATGAGAACATACCAGAGATGGAATCCAAGCATGCAGCAGTAACATTACATACCTCCAGATTCTACATATTAAGCTTGTGCAAACCTGCCATGAATGTACATAACATAATATGTTTATTTCTTTATATCATCTGGTCTTATTAAGATAATAGAATATTCGTAATAACAAGTAACATGACACAACGGGAAAGAAGATTAAGATGTCAACACTAGGACCCTTGAAGATTACGACCTAAAAGGTAAGATGTATTAATCATGTGGCATTCCATGTATTAGGAACTGAAACCAAGAACAATGAATATAAACTGTCATAACCATTTTTGTAAATTTTGGTATTTAAAAAAAAAACAATTATGATTTTATTAAGAAAATTAGAATTTTGAATTAATTTGAATAGGAGTCTGTCGCAACCGTCTTTCGGTTGTGCTCCGGAATTGGGCTTCGACTTGAAAAATGTAGATTGGAGTCGCCACCGATTATTTATTTAAAAATAAATAGGTTAATCGGATACCTTATCTTTTACATGATCTGCGTCTTACCAAAGATATGTCGGATTCGGGAGTCGGTTACAGTCAAGGAAGGATTAGCACCCTTGAACTGCCCTTTCGGTACTGTGTAACTTCCAGTTGTCTTTAATTAAGAAAATTGTAAGTTTAACTTAAAAAGTAAAAATAACGACCCAAATTACTTACCTCTGATCGATTGAAAATGCCTTTAAAAGATGAAAATGTTAGAAGTAAAAAGATATAGATAAAATAAAGACAGTAAAATAAATAAATAAAATAAGAGAATAAAAAGAAAATAACAATAATACTAATATCATACACATGCGAACATAAAAAATAGAAACATGAAATGAGAGAATAAATAACTAGGTAAAAATGGATATGCATGAAAAAGGGTTTAGAAGATGGAATAAAATAAAAAAAATAAGATGAAATGTAAAATGTGTGGAATAATAATAATAGAATAATAAATATATAAAAAATGAATAAAAGAATAATAAAAAGGAATATAGAAAATAGAAAAAAAAGTAAATATACATATATATGTTTGTACGTTAATAACAAAACACTAATAATAGTAGTCATTTTAAAAAATATATATATATACATAGCAACTTATAAGCAAAGTATTATTTAAAAAAAAAACAAGTACTAAAAATGGTAATATAAAGGATTAAATCAAAAGAAAAAAAATTCAATGGTCAATTTAAAATTAAATCCAGATCTTGAACCGAAAGAGGGCTTAAATTGAAAGGAAAGGAAAACAGAGTGGCCAAATTAAAAGGTAATTGGAGTTTAAAAATCGATTTTGGGGATCAAAAGGATCGTTTTAAAATCATAGGGACTGGAATTGTAGTTTACCCTATTATCGCGTGAAAACACTCGGATCTGAGGTTTGATGGGTCGGGTCGCACGGGTCGCATAACGGGTAGTATAAAAGCCAACATTATTTCAAAAAAAAATTTAATTTCCTTCATTTGCATGCTTCAAACCGAGAGAGACCCCCCTGTTCTTAATTTCCTCTCGTGTGTTCTTCATTCAGAAGAACACGTCGCCGCTTGTTTCCAGTTTCAGGCCATACGCCACCTTGCCGGCCGCCGTTCATCGGCGACGAATAAGAAAACATTTAGTTTTTTAGAAAGCTCTTCTCGTATAGTTTTAAAAAATCACACTTGTTTTTCAAAACGTGCCTCGAGGAGTTGTAGATCTAACGAAAAATATTTCGAAAGAAAGAAGAAAAAAATCCCTCCTTTTCATCGGCATTTGAGTTTTCAGATCGGAAAGACAAACATGCAAGGGCGATGAAGCGAGTAAGGTAACAAATTTTACCTTTTTATTCCTTTCGCAAATGTTACAATGCTTCGAGTGATTCGGTCGATTTTTGCTAGTATTTTGTGCCTAGTATTTTTTGCATCTCCCCCATCCGTGTGTTCTAATTACAAGCTTATTTATACATAAAATAAAATGCTAGTTTAAACTAATTTGAGTCCTAATCAACTCTGTCTTCTGTTGGTTGTTGGTGATGATCTTTGTGACGAATGTTTCGGAGTGGGTGGTGTGTGGCTGTGGAACTCGAAGAGGAAACGGCAGTGTGGGAGTTGAAGGTTTGCTAGGTTTTTGTTCAAACCCTAATCCAGTTGAGTTATATTTGGGCCATTGTTGGGCCATGTCATCTTGCATTTGGACCATCCAAGGTCAAAATTTGATGTCTTCAGCTGCCCCTCTTTGCTCATTGTCATGTAACAAAAATGGAGCAAAGATTACAAGACACAAATTTTGTTTATATCGAATATCCCCTGTTGTAGAGTTGAAATCCGATATTAAGATTGATTTGTCCATATGGATTGAAATATGGAATGACTCCCTCGTCGTGAGGTCGAGTTGAACTGGAAGCCTATGAGAACAATATCCTTCATCTTGTGTTGTCTGGAGTCCAATATCCTTCGTTATGAAGTTGAAATTGGCTCTAAAATTGGGAAAATGTTCGTTAACAACCAGCGGTCCCTTCGTCGTGAAGTTGAACTTGCATTGTTTGGAGTCCAATATCCTTCGTTGTGAAGTTGAAATTGGCTCTGAAATTGGGAAGTTGTTGTTACAACCAGCGGTCCCTTCGTCGTGAAGTTGAACTTGTGTCGTCTGGAGTCCAATATCCTTCGCTGTGAAGTTAAAATTGGCTCTGAAATTGGGAAGTTGTTGTTGAAAACCAGCGGTCCCTTCGTCGTGAAGTTGAACTTGCGTTGTCTGGAGTCCAATATCCTTCGCTGTGAAGTTGAAATTGGCTCTGAAATTGGGAAGTTGTTGTTGAAAACCAGTGGTCCATTCGTCGTGAAGTTGAACTTGTGTTGTTTGGAGTCTAATATCCTTCGCTGTGAAGTTGAAATTGGCTCTGAAATTGGGAAGTTGTTGTTGACAACCAGCGGTCCCTTCGTCGTGAAGTTGAACTTGCGTTGTCTGGAGTCCAATATCCTTCGTTGTGAAGTTGAAATTGGCTCTGAAATTGAGAATTTGTTTGTTGACAACCAGCGGTCCCTCCGTCGTGAAGTTGAACTTGTGTTGTCTGGAGTCCAATATCCTTTGCTGTGAAGTTGAAATTGGCTCTGAAATTGGGAAGTTGTTGTTGACAACCAGCGGTCCCTTCGTCGTGAAGTTGAACTTGCGTTGTATGGAGTCCAATATCCTTCGCTGTGAAGTTGAAATTGGCTCCAACCAGCGGTCCCTTCGTCGTGAAGTTAAACTTACGTTGTGTGGAGTCCAATATCCTTCGCTGTGAAGTTAAAATTGGCTCTAAAATTGGGAAGTTGTTATTGACAACCAGCGGTCCCTTCGTCGTGAAGTTAAACTTGTGTTGTCTGGAGTCCAATATCCTTCGTTGTGAAGTTGAAATTGGCTCTGAAATTGGGAAGTTGTTGTTGACAACCAGTGGTCCCTTCGTCGTGAAGTTGAACTTGTGTCTGAGTCATCCCTTCGTCGTGAAGTTGAACTTGTGTTGAATGGTGGAGTTAAAATCGTGGATGTTTGGCTTCGAGTCATGAAGTTGAAATCTATTCTCGAGCAAATTGTGAGTTCAATATCCTTCGTCGCGAAGTTGAAATTGACTCTGGCTAAAACTTGAAAAAGTTATGGTGATGTGGAGAGAAATCTCGATCTTCGATGGCCTGTATGGAATTTTGAAGATTTTGACCCCTGGTCTTGAATTCTTCAAATGTTCAAATTTGATGTTTGTTTTTATATCCTTGATCCGAGAAATGCTTCTCGACCATTTCAGGTATATGCATGAGCCCTGATCACCTTCCGAGTACCTGTACTTTTCAATGAATCTTTGTGCAGTAATATACGAATATATTTTGCATGAATGAATAAATCGTTAAGTTTAAGCTGAATCTAAGATGCTCAAAAGGAATTGGTGTAGAGAAAAGGATTGTCTTTCATTCATGAGGGAAAAAGAAACAAATAATACATGACAAACATTTTGGAAGATGAAGACATGATGAGGTATAAATGAATGTCTTAGATTTCAATAATGTGGGCACTTCTGAGCTAAAAATCTGTTAGGTGACCTTGAATACAGCCTTTGCCAAAGGATCTTTGAAAAATGAGACAATCTTCAGGTGAGTGCAACCTTTCTCTGACTCGTTGAGTCTACGGAAATTCAGATGCCCGGGAGTTTCAAATGTTTGGGTTTCTTGAATTATCCAAATCGCCCTTTCGGGTTTTCAACTTGGATCCATCCTTGGTTGCAAGACGCCCTTTGCGGGTTTTCACCTTGAACCCATATTTTTGCTCTTTTTTTTATCTAGGGCGCCCTTTCGGGTTTTCACCCTAAATGTTTTTTTTTACTTAGGACGCCCTTTCGAGTTTTCATCCTAAGCGTAGTATTTTTTGACTGCATCTGAGTTGATGGGATGTGGCAGGTCAAGTCCGTCCATTTCGGCCAGGACAAGGGCCCCTCCGGAAAAGGCCTTCTTCATGATATAGGGTCCTTCCCAATTTGGCGTCCATTTTCCTCGGAAATCTTTCTGAACTGGCAAAATTCTTTTTAGCACCAGATCTCCTTTATGGAATATTCTTGGGCGTACCTTCTTGTCATGTGCTCGAATCATTCATTTTTGATAGATTTGACCATGGTGAATGGCTTTCAGTCTCTTTTCATCTATCAGATTAAGCTGATCGTATCTGGACTGCATCCATTCTGCGTCATCTAGTTTGACTTCTGTCAAGACCCGTAGTGATGGAATTTCTACTTCAATGGGCAGTACTGCTTCCATTCCATAAGCTAGTGAAAATGGAGTTGCCCCAGTCGAGGTTCGTACTGAGGTTCGATAAGCGAACAAAGCGAAATGTAACTTCTCATGCCAGTCTTTGTAGGTCTCGGTTGTTTTCTCCACTATCTTTTTAATGTTTTGTTTGCTGCTTCTACTGCACCATTCATTTTTGGTATGTAGGTAGTAGAATTGTGATGTTTTATGTTGAATTGATCACAAGCAACTTTCATCATTTTATTGTTCAAGTTTGTAGCATTATCGGTAATGATCCTTTCAGGTAAACCATACCGACAT